TTTTTTTTTTTTTTTTTTTTTTTTTTTCCCATACATGGGCAATCATTCTAGAAGAAAATGTGTATTTTTAAACAAAGAACTTTGACTTGACCAGCTAATTTTGAAGCTGATCAGCTATTGTAACAACAATGAAAAATAACTTTGCCTTTGCTTTCTAGAATAAAAAGTGACTAATTTTTCCCTGTTTCTCTTTTTATTTTCTATTATCTAGTTTGAAGAAAACATTCTGGATGCTTGCCTGTTCCTGATGGACAAGGCAGAACTGGAGCTGTCTGGGCGTGGAAACCCCATCAAAATCTGCCGTGTTGCCTCTGCAGTGGTATGTAATGGATGCCTCATGTGTCAGAAGTGACTCATAAATCAAAGCCAGGCTGATTTAACTGGCCCTCATGCCCTGTTGTGCTCACTCCAACAGGTGCCAGATCAATTGTCCATTCTGACCTCTGGGGTCTGGCATTTTATTTCACTCCACTAAAGGTGAAATACTTAAGTTGGCTCATTGCCTTTTCATGAGAATGGTATCTCACTGGTAGCAAAACCACTTTTAGACATTGCAGTCCAGGCATGATAGCATTTCTTGTGACACTGTTCTCACTTAACAGTAGCTGAGATATTTGAGAAAGATATTTCTGCCATGGACAGTAAGGTGGCATGATCGGTGGAATTTGGGATGGAGAGACTTTATGTGGACTCCAACACTCACATCAAGTGGGTCTTAAGACACTGCAATGGTAAGCATTACTGTGTCTGATTTTTAAACCCCAAATAGCCTAGTCAAGCTGAGAACACTTATATGTGCTACCTTGGCCCCGGAAGAAAACACTGTGAAAGCTGCTCTCTTAAACATGGGGTCCACAAAATTTACTGCACTCAGAATAGAAGTACCTAACACAACTAAAATCGAAGAGTAAGGAGGAGACTTTCCACATGTCCATTCTTTCCAGCTGCTAGACACCAGGAGTCATGCTGTGGGTGCAAGAGCAGCCCCATCCCTAATATTCAAGATGGCAGTCTTATCCAGAATGTGGAAGGCAGAGTCCAAGTCATCTGCTCTGCCTTACCGAGGTCTGAAATGATGCCTTTTGCTTCCCACAATAATACTCTAATCATCAAGGTAGTGTCATCAGTTGTTCTCCCAAGTCAACTACTAAAATAAACTGTCCACAAAACATGGCTGATGGAGATGGATGATAGTTTAACTCATTCATTACAGCATTTGCCCAGGCTTTAAGAGAGTGAGCTCTTTGTCTTAGATGACATTGAAATGGGATCTCCACATGCTGAATCTTGCATAGCATCCCATTCAATAGAATAGCTTCAACAAGAAGTATTGAGAACACCCCCACTTCTCTTTCTCTTTTAACCTTTTGATTAGTTCTTTCACCCCAGACATTAGAAATATGGCTTCAGACCTTCAGATATAAGTAAGAATTGGATGTGGATCCCTCATCTCTGGGCTAATAAGCCAGCATTTTGCTCAGGTGGCCAAGAAGGCCAATGGCATCCTGGCTTGTGTCAGCAATAGCATGGCCAGCAGGGACAGGGAAGGGATCTGACCCCTGTACTCGGCACTGGTGAGGCCGCCCCTCGATTCCTGTGTTCAGTTTTGGGCCCCTCACTACAAAAAGGACATTGAATGACTCGAGCGTGTCCAGAGAAGGGCAACGGAGCTGGTGCAGGGTCTGGAGCACAGGTCGTACGGAGAGCGGCTGAGGGAACTGGGGGTGTTTAGTCTGGAGAAGAGGAGGCTGAGGGGAGACCTCATCGCCCTCTACAGCCACCTGAAAGGAGGTTGCAGAGAGCTCGGGATGAGTCTCTTTAACCAAGTAACAAGCGATAGGACAAGAGGTAATGGTCTCAAGTTGCACCAGGGAAGGTTTAGACTGGATATTAGGAAGCATTTCTTTTCAGAAGGGGTTGTTAGGCATGGAAAGGGCTGCCCAGGGAGGTGGTGGAGTTCCCATCCCTGGAGGTGTTTGAGTCAGGTCGACATAGTGCTGAGGGATGTGGTGTAGTTTGGAACTGTCAGTGTTATGTTAATGGTTGGACTGGATGATCTACAAGGTCTTTTCCAACCTAGATGATTCTGTGATTCTGTAATAGACATAAAGGGTCCCTCTTGTAGGGACCATGGAAGCCCTAAGGGCAAAATAGTAAGTTTATGAACCCAAAGAGGTCTTGGATATTACTCAGGTTTTGAGCCACTCAGTCCTTTTAGGGAGGTGGAGAAGTTCACCATTGGAACTCCAGGAGTCAGTGGACTTTAGGTCTAATCTGCAGGATTAGGCTGTAGTTGGATGGGAGTTTTGGCCATCTGAAATCTGGACCTCAGTAAGAAGTGGCCAAGAGGTGTTGAAGTCCCACTTGTGTTCCTTACCCCACTTCTTGCTCAATATGAAATGTGGTAGAGCTGAGCTTGTCTAAGGAGATGCCCCCATGCTGGGATCATTCTGAGGCTTCCTGATGTTGCAGAACAGGTAGAGTCGCTCCCTTCTTCCTCTCTTTACAACCAGAGGGGAGCCTGAAGATCAGCATGCTGCCCTGTCCTTGAAGTGCCTCTTTTCTTGGCATGTGTCCCACAACAGTGAGATGGGCACAACCCCTTAACCCTTTGGTTATGACTCTGAATACTTATCTTTATTCAGTCCTAGGGTTCACAGAAAGTCGATTTTCTAATTATAAAACAGTAGTTAATCCAGCCAAAAGCTTTTAAATGAGAATTGTGATTTATTTGGCTGGCATGTAGCTGTTCCACATTAGCATAATTAAAAGGTACAGAGCGAATGAGCTTTTTGCACAGCCTCAACTGGTTTGGTTCAAATTCCAGCTAGGAGATATATGGCTCGTTAATGCCGATCAGTATAGCCATTAGTCAGCAAAGCTCCTCGCTTTGTGTAATCTTACCAGGAAAAACTTACACAGCAAATTCCTCCTTGTTTTCATGTGTGCTGGACTGAAGAAATTAGTTTGTGCTCTAAAAATAACAGTGGGCTGGTTCTCCTCTCAATCCACTGTAAATCAGGAGCGATTTTATTAAAATCTCTCGTCTGATAAAAACACAGAAACAGGCAGTGTTAGGAAAGAATCCTTAATATTGTCAAGGCTTGCTTATCAGTGTATAACTGATCGTGTTTATTAAGCATACATAGCAGTAAGCATGTTTAACATTAAAAAAACTTACTAAACTGACAACATGGGTATTCAGTGTGGTGATTTAATTTCACCTTTATTTTTAAGTGTTTGGTCTTCAATCAAAATTGTTCAGTGATGGAGAATTCATGTCCCTTACCAAGATTGCTCTATTCATTTCCTACCTTCCTAACTGAATATTTCTGTCTTCTAGCCTAAACTTGGCTATATTCAGTCTCTCCCATCCTATCCTTGTCTTTATTATTCAGCCTCTGACATCCCTAATGCTCGTTTCCTTTGTCTTTAGATCAACTCCAGGGATGATAATGGTGTGATTGCTGGATCCTGGGACAATGCATACACTTACGGTGTTGCACCTTCAGCCTGGACAGGAAGCGTGGACATTCTCTTGGAGTATTACAGTTCTAAGCAACCTGTGCGATATGGCCAGTGCTGGGTCTTTGCTGGTGTCTTCAACACATGTAGGTATCAGTGAGAAAAGCTCCACTCTGCTATATGATTCTTGCATAACAGAGAGAGCTTTTAGGTTAAGCTAACTAAAATACTTCCTGGTTCTGTGATGTTAAGGAATAAACAGTAGAGATACTTAAAATTACATGGCTAAAATAGATGGTCTTTATATAAACCTTTGGCATCTCCTTCAGCTGCTCTTCCACACAAATCTGTTAACTATTTATTGGTTCAGTAAAATATATTCAGTGAGGGTAAGTTTGGGAGAGATAAAGCTAGTCTTTTGGCACAGTCTACGTTTCTGTTAGGAAATCATAGATGAGCAGAGGGCTTATTATCTAGACCTGCAACATGAAACTCTTACCCATGGTGGTTACCATGATGGTGTTTCTGCTCCAGAAAGGCCAAATCTCACCTACTGAGGATAGTTCCTAGCAAAATTGACATGCACCATCCCAGCACCTGTCTACTGAGCACTGTTAACATTTTCTATGGAGTTTGTGAGCCAGAGCAGTGAGGAAAATTCTGGTCTGGTTTTAAAATTGTCTAGCAGTACAAAGTTAAGTCTAAACACAATGTTGCAGCAAATGGGGTGTTGCAGGTTGTAAAACCCAGTAGGGAAAGCAGCGTTGTATTGGTCCTATTTTTTTACTGTCTAGCGCTTTCTAACAATATAATCTGCTAATACATTGGAATGCCCTGCAGCATATTAGCAGTCAAGAAAGACCCTGGGAGTTAAAAAAAATGTGCATTATACAGATAACGGGGACCAGACATTGGAAGTAATGCTGATGTCAAGTGACAGTGTAGAGCCAGTCAAGCAGCTCCTATGTTTATAGCACTGGGCAATAGAAGTTGTTGAACAGAAACTAAAAGTAAGTGTCTTTCTTAATCCCAGATGACCTTCCTTAGAAGCACTTACAGGGGGGGGGGGGCGAGAACCAGATCAGCTTAGGACCAGGGGGACACAATGAGTATTTCTGCAGGCTTGGAGCTTACTTTGCATCAAGTACTTCTAAGTCACAGCTGAAGGTCTAAGCTTTAGCCCTTCTATTTAAGATGTGAAAAGGAAATTACAGGAAAATTTTCTGTGAAACTTTTCCTTTTTCCATCTGTCTCAATACTGTCACTTGTTGCTGTCTCAAGGAATCACATTATACTTCTCTTTACATTATACTTATATCAGAAATGAAGGCTATTAATCACCCATCTTCTGTAACAAACATGGAAGTTGAATAATTAATGGCAAGTTACCAGACTGGTTCTTCACCTAAGGCAGCCCTTTAACATATCTGCATTTTCACTTTCTTTTTGCTTGTTATATATGTGTATATTTCACTTTGTACATAATTTTCCTCCAGTCTGGATAATTGGATTTCATTTTGGTTACCTGAGGTAGTTCAAAAGCTGTTCAAAATGCTAAGGACCTTGGAAATACAGCTGTTTTCTGACCAGCTAGCCGCCTTCTGGCACATGCTTCTCATAGCTATGACAGGGTTTCAGGTTTCTCTGCTTCTCTTTCATATATCTGGAGAGGTTCCTGTTTTGATTTGGGGAGGTGCTGGCAGGTGCTCTGTCCTTCAACACGTGAAAAGGTTCATTTTATTCCTCCTGTAGTGGGATAATGAGCAATCACCCACATCCAAAAAACCTGAGAGATGTCTACTTCCTTCATTGCTTGAGGCCACATCATCTGTACTTGATAATTCTCAGCCTCTGCACAATGCAATGGGTTTGAAAAGGCTCTTGTAAATGTTTCCTATGGATGCAATTCCTCACAGTGGCTTCCACAGGCCACTCTAACTGCTCTGCCCGTTAACTCATATGGATTTCCCTACATCACAGACAGACACACACACCAGTTCTCCCACCTCCCCTCTTCACTGGCCCTGAATCACCACTATGCAGTATTTTGCCTGCAGGCCACTGTGAAACTGGGGCGATGCAGCAGAGGCCCAGAGCCTGCTGTGTTAAATGGAGAGGCGTATTTATCTGGGGCAAAACTAGACTTGGTTTGCTGACTAAATTAATCAGGTCAGAGACCTGGCACTTTGTACAACTTCAAGGATTGCCGAAGTCTAAAGTTTTTTTGAACATCATGGGATGAAAATGTTGTCCAGTGGTCTATCTGATAGGTAGCCACTGACACATCCATCTGCTGACCACTGCAAAGAGAAGATGGCAAAAATCTGAACAGTCATGTGCAACTAAAAGGGTGGTTTTGAGCTGTTTATGTGTCTTAGGTGCCAAGGTTTTATCATTGTGAGCAGTCCAGCTTTCCAAGGTTACTATATTGTAAACTCTGGATAGTCATCCATTAAAAATGCTAAAACATTCTGAAAAATGGTCATTAATCTTGAAATTGTCAGACAAATTATTTTCAATGAGCCCTGATGGCTCATGTGCTGGAAGCCTGGGAGGGCACTTGAATTAAGTTTAATCAATAGGTACATATGGTATTGGATGCATCCAGGTAATTTGTCATCCAGGAACTTGAAATGAATGTGCAGTGTTACACTTTATTGGGAATCACAGTAGTGACACTAATGAATATACAAAAGCCAGCAGTAACAGCAAGGGCTGTTCAACATTGCGCCATTGAAACTATTTTTAAGTAGGGTTTTCAATAAAAATGCTTTCCCTTTCAAAAAAATCCCTCTGTTTTATGCAGAACCATGTTGGCTCCTAAATGGAAAACAGGAACTTTTTTGCCTGAGAGACAAAATATTTCATCTGGAGAAGCTGAAATGATGTGTCACCCTGCAGTCCCACTCCCCCCTTGGGGCCGTGCTCCATGCGTATTTATCAGCTAGGGTGCACCACAAACACAAAAGCCTAATGACACACTACTGCACTTCAGACATAGCCATAACGTTTCAAAGTTTCCTAAATTTACCACTTGTCAAATGGGAGGAAGAGTCATCAGTGCTACATTGTGATGGTTTGAGATTTAGGGATAGGGGCTTTTTTTTTTTTTTTTTTTTTTTTTTTTTTTTTTTTTTAAAAATCTTCCTTTTAAAATCCTTTACGGGAAGGGGCTACTGGCTCCAAAATACTATTACTTAGCAATCAATACAAATTATGTAATGCATTTTGTTCAGATTCTCTAACTCTGACATTTCACTTGCAAATAATGCAGCTTTTCCCCCTTGTTATCAATAATTTTCTGCTTTATTCTTTGTATTCTCCAAATCCCTTCTGATGGCAGATGTCAGAGAGGAAAACTCTGAAACAACCGAAAGTACTTTCTATTAATTTTCTTTTTAGCACAGTCTCATGATTCTGTTGGGTTACTAATACTAGGAGGCCTAATATATTTTGCATTTCTTGCAAGCTCAAACTTATTTTTCTTTATACCACATTTGGTCATGGAGTTGACCCATTGCACCCAGATTTGCCCTGAAAAGCTACAGTGTGTTCTCTATGCAAGACTGTTCTAAAACTATTGGTAATCAGCTGCTTAAGGTAAAACCATTGTACCTTTACATATCTTGAATGTTCAGAATTTTGGGAGCAAATAAAATATTTAATATATTGTATATAAAGACAGATAGGAGGAAATATTTGAGTTGATTTGACTGAGTTTTCCCATTTTATTCTACGTAATAATATTTTCTCTCCTCTCATCCTGTCATCCATGAGCACAGTCTTCATATTTGTCCTTCTCATCACACTTCTCTCTTTGCTACAGTTCTGAGGTGCTTGGGGATACCTGCAAGACTTGTTACTAACTATTCTTCTGCCCATGATAACAACGCCAATTTACAGTTGGACTTCTTTCTGGATCACGAAGGGAAAGTGGACACCAAAATTACAAAAGACTCTGTCTGGTGAGTTCTCCTGGCAAATGCTTTTAATGTGTCAACTGTGTAAGTAGTGAAAAACATGACAGTAAGGCCTGCGGTTTATTTAATTCTCTGTGCATTAAAGAACACCCCTAATTTATGTTAAACAAAATGAATGGATTGTTAGTAGGCTGACTAATATGAAGCACTTGTCACATAAAGAGACAGACCCTAGGGGATCCCACTACTAATGTTACGATACAGCACACATTTAAGTGCACTGGAGGAAAGCTGGAATGGGTTTATGTTCCTTAGGGCCAGGCCATTTCTAAAAATGGAAAGGGGTAGGATGAGCACTCCCATCAGTCTGGAGCCAAGCTCAAAGGGATACCTCAATATCTATGGAAAAACCCACTTCTTGTTCTGCTTCTGCCAGTTCCCATGTATTTGTAAGCTGGTTTTACATTGTGTACATGCAGTCATTATCACAAATAGATATTTTCCAAAGTAAATTCTGTTCAGCTGAAAAAGAAACAAGTCAAAGTATCATACAAGTTACTGCAATGCTCTCGCCAGATTTATAAAAAGCAAACTCCCTAGGAACAAGAAATGGAGTCTGTGTATTCTTTTGGAGAAGACATTCTTTTAACTTGCTCCTCAAACTCTTTCTGTGTCCTGTCTGACAGGAGAAGTGTAGCATATATTGATTATATGCTCTGTTCCATAGAAATTATGAGTGGGTTATTGGGCTTTAAGCATCTCCTTCACAGAATGAAAGAGTGAATGTGACCTCTGTATTCCTATATTCAATAGATACTTGTCCTATTCAGTGTTAACATACCTGATTTGTGTCCGTATCTTCAACTCATCAACATAGCTGCTCTTCAGCATGTCTCATAACTTGATCTCTGGAAGTTTTTATATTATTAAAACTGTAATAATCCCTATTATGTGGTGGAAGAAATGACTGAACCTGTTAGTGTAAACTGTTTTATGTGATTTCTATAATCTGTTACCAAGAGGGAATCTAAGGAAAACAGTTACGTTAATTTACATCTGAAGCTTGTAACACAGCATCACAGAATCGTTGAGACTGGAAGGGGACCCCTGGAAGTCATTGTACCCTCCTGCTCAAAGGAGGGTCAGCTAGAGCAGGTTGCTCAGAGCTGTATCCAGCTGGGTTCTGAATACCTCCAAGGATGGACACTCCACAACATCTCTGGGAAACTTCTGCCAGTGCTCAACCATTCTCACAGAAAAAAAGTGTTTCCTGATGTTCAGATAGAATTTACTGTGTTTCAATTTGTGCCCACTGTTTCCTGTCCTACCACTGGGAACCGCTGAGATGAGTCTAGTTCTGTCTTCTTCCCCTCAACTCCCTAATCAGGCATTTATACACATGGATAAGATCCTATTGAGCCTTCTCGTCTGCAGGATGAACAGTCCCAGCTTCCTTAGCCTCTCTTTCTGGACAGCCTTTGGTGTATCAGCCATTCCTTCCAGTTTTCTGTATTGGCAAACTTGCTGAGGGTGTAGTAGGTCTCGTCATCCAGGTCATTAATGAAGATGTTAAACAGTATTAGACTCTGTATTGACCCCTGGGGTACACAGCTAGTGACTAGGCTCCATCTGGTGTTCATACCATTGATCACAACCCAGCAGTTCAGCCAGTTTTCAATATACTTTACTGTCCACTTATATAGTCTATACTTCAGTGGCTTGTCTATGAGGATGTTCTGGGAGATCGTGCTAAAGTCAAAGAGAAACCAACCCCCATGCACTGGTCTCTCCTTGTCCAGTCAGACATTCATTTCATCAAAGAATCACAGAATCACCAAGTTTGGAAAAGACCTTGTAGATCATCCAGTCCAACCATTAACATAACAATGACAGTTCTCAACTACACCATATCCCTAAACCCTATGTCGACCTGACTCTTGAACACCTCCAGGAATGGGGGTTCCACCACCTCCCTGGGCAGCCCATTCCAACGCGTAACAATCCCTTCTGGAAAGAAATGCTTCCTAATACCCAGTCGAAACCTTCCCTGGCATAACTTGAGCCCATTCCCTCTTGTCCTATCACTTACTACTTGGTTAAAGAGACTCATCCCCAGCTCTCTGCACCCTCCTTTCAGGGAGCTGTAGAGGGCGATGAGGTCTCCCCTCAGCCTCCTCTTCTCCAGACTAAACACCCCAGTTCCCTCAGCCGCTCTCCATACGACCTGTGCTCCAGACCCTTCACCAGCTCCGTTGCCCTTCTCTGGACACACTCAAGTCATTCAATGTCCTTTTTGTAGCGAGGGGCCCAAAACTGAACACAGGAATCGAGGTGCGGCCTCACCAGTGCCGAGTACAGGGGTAAGATGACTTCCCTGTCCTGGCTGGCTAGTGCTGACACGAGCCAGGATGCCATTGGCCTTCTTGGCCCTCTGGGCACACTGCTGCCTCCTGTTCATCTGGCTGTCAATCAACACCCCACCCCTCCCACCCCCGGTCCCTCTCTGACTGGCAGCTCTCCAGCCACTCCTCCCCAAGCCTGTAGCGCTGCTGGGGGTTGTTGTGTCCCAAGGGCAGCCCCCGGCATTTGGCCTTACGGAAACTCCTCCAGTTGGGCTCAGCCCATGGCTCCAGCCTGTCCAGGTCTCTCTGCAGAGCCTCCCTACCCTCGAGCAGATCAACACTCCCACCCAACCTGGTGTCATCTGCAAACTGACTGAGGGTGCACTCGATCCCCTCGTCTAGATCATCAATAAAGATATTAAACAGGAGTGGTCCCAAAACCGAGCCCTGGGGGACACCACTCGTGACCGGCTGCCAACCAGATTTAACTCCATTCACCACAACTCTTTGGGCCCGGCCATCCAGCCAGATTTTTACCCAGCAAAGCATGTGCCCATCCAAGCCATGAGCAGCCAGTTTCACCAGGAGAATGCTGTGGGAAACGGTGTCAAAGGCCTTACTGAAGTCAAGTAAACAACATCCACAGCCTTTCCCTCATCCAATAAGCAGGTCGTCCTGTCATAGAAGGAGATCAGGTTTGTCAAGCAGGACTTGCCTTTCTTAAACCCATGCTGACTGGGCCTGAGCATCTGGTTGTCCCTCATGTGTTGCATGATGGTGTTTAGGATGAGCTGCTCCATCAGCTTCCCAGGCACCAAAGTCAAGCTGAACAGGCCTGTAGTTTCCTGGATCATCCTTCCGACCCTTCTTATATATGGGTGTCACACTGGCCAATTTCCAATCAGTCAGGACCTCCCCAGTCAGCCAGGACTGCTGGTAAATGATGGAAAGTGGACTGGCGAGCACCCCAGCCAGCTCCTTCAGCACCCTCAGGTGTATCCCATCGGTCCCATAGACTTGTGTGTGTCTGTGTGATGCAGTAGGTCACTGACTATCCCCTCCTGGATTGTGGGGGGGGTCACTCTCCCAGTCTCTGTCTTCTGGCTGAGGAAGCTGGATTCCCTCAGTACAACTGGTCTTGCTATTAAAGACTGAGGCAAAGAAGGTGTTAAGCACCTCAGCCTTTTCCTTGTCACTTGTTGCCATGTTTCCTCTTGCGTCTAGGAGGGGATAAAGGCTCTCCCTGGTGTTTCTTTTACTACTGACATACTTATAGAAACATTTCTTGTTGTCCTTGATTGCTGAAGCCTGATTATTTTCTAGCTGGACTTTAGACCTCCTGATTTCTGCCCTGTGTAGCCTCACAGCATCTTTGTAATCATTGTGAGTGGCTAGCGCCTTCTTCCAAAGGCCGTAAACTCTCATTTTCTCCCTGAGTTGCCGCCAAAACTCCCTGTTCAGCGAGGGTGACCTTCTTTGCCGCAGGCTTCTTTTACAGCACCTGGGGACCGCCTGTTCCTGAGCCATCAACACTTCCTTCTTAAAGAGTATCCATCCAAGAGTATTCTTGTACCCCTATACCCTCCAGGACAGTCTCCCAAGGGATTCTGTCAAGCAGGTACCTAAACAAGACAAAGTCAGCTCTTTGGAAGTTCAGGATGTCAGTTCTACTGCCCCTTCTCCAGAATAGAGAACTCTATTATTTCATGATCGCTGTTCCCTAGTCGGCCTCCAACCACCACATCATCCACCAGTCCTTCTCTGTTCACAAACAGGAGATCCAGCAGGGCACCTTCTCTGGTTGGTTTACTCACCAGCTGCATAAGGAAGTTATGTCCAACACATTCCAGGAATCTTTGGGACTGATCCTGCTCTGCTGTGTTGTATTTCCAGCAGATGTCTGGGAAGTTAAAGTCTCCCACAAGAACAAGGGCAAGTGACCATGAGATTTCTCCTCAGTATCTATAGAATATTTCATCCACCTCTCTGTCCTGGGTGGGTGGCCTATAGTAGACTCCTAGTATAACATCTGCCCTGTTGGCCTCCCACCTCATTCTAACGTGAAGACACTCCACCCTGTCTTCACTATACTTGTGTTCGAAGGAATCATAATAGTCCCAACATACAGCGCCACCCCACCACCTCTACTTCCTTATCTATCCCTCCTAAAAAGCCTGTACCCATCAACTGGCACACTCCAGTCATGGGAGACATCCCACCATGTTTCTGTAATAGCCACTACATCATAATTTTCCTGCTGCATCATGGCTTCAAGCTCCTCCTGTTTGTTACCTGTGCTGTGTGCATTGGTATACATGCACTTCAGGTGAGCTGATGTCCCAGCACCTTTTCGCATTTAGAGGTCCTAAATTGGGCCTGACCTTTCACAGGTGTTACCACGGTTACTGATCCATCAATATCCCTGGCATCTTTGTTGTGCTGCACGTCTCCATCCCTTGCCTCCACTGGGATAGCAGGGTGAGAGTCATTGCTGGCACAACAGCCCACAAACTCTGGTAATCTACCCTGGGGCTTATATCTAGAAGTTCCAGTTTTGTCCCCTTTTGTCTCCTAGTTTAAAGTTCTCTCAGTGAGCCCAGCTAACTCCTGCCCCAAGATCCTTTTCCCCCTCTGGGAGAGGTGCATCCCATCTGATGCCAAAAGGTCTGACATCCTGTATGCTAACCCATGACTGAAAAAATC